TGTCATTATAAAAGGTGAGAAACTCAGATAAAGGCAGGAATAAATAAAGAAACAATGTAACAATCATTACTCTATGTTTCTTAACATTTAATTAATATGAAAATGTTTACCTTTCCTGTTGCTCATAGAATCATAGAATGGTTTGGGTTGGAAGGGACCTGAAAGATCAACTAGTTCCAACCCCCCGGCCGTGGGGAGGCACATCTTCCACTAGACCAGGTTGCTCCCAGCCCCATCCGGCCTGGCCTTGAGCACTGACAGGGAGGGGGCAGCCACAGCTTCTCTGAGCAACCTGTTCCAGTGCCCCACCCCCCTCACGGTGAAGAACTTTTTCCCAATATCTAATCTAAATCTACCCTTTTCGGCTTTGAAACCACTATGCCTTGTCCTATCACCACATTCCCTGATCAAGAGTCCCTTCCCCACCTTTCCTGTAGGCCCCTTTTAAGTACTGCAAGGGCGCTAGAAGGTCTCCCCTGAGCCTTCCCTTCTCCAGGCTGAACAACCCCAGCTCTCTCAGCCTGTCCTCACAGAGGAGGTGCTCCAGCCCCCTGACCATCTTTGTGGCCTCCTCTGGACCTGCTTGAGCAGGCCCATGTCTTTCTTACACCGGGGGCCCCAGAGCTGAATGCAGTGCTCCCGGTGAGGTCTCACCAGAGCAGAGGAGCAGAATGACCTCCCTCGACCTGCTGCCTGCACTTCTTTTGCTGCAGCCCAGGATGTGATTGGCTTTCTGGGCTGCCAGTGCACATTGCTGGCTCATATTCAGTTTTTTCACCTACCAGTAGCCCCAAGTCTTTCTCTGCAGGGCTACTCTCGAAACACTCATTGCCCAGCCTGTATCTGTGCTTGGGATTGCCCCAACCCAGGTGCAGGACCTTGCACTTGGCCTTGTTGAACTTCATGTGGCTTTCACAGGCCCACCTCTCAAGCCTGTCAAGGTCCCTCTGAATGGCATCTCTTCCCTTCAGTGTGTCAACCACACCACACAGCCTAGTGTTGTTGACGAGCTTGCTGGAGGTGCACTCGATCCCGCTGTCCATGTTGCCGACAAAGATGTTAAACAGCACCGGTCCCAATACTGACCCTTGAGGAACACCACTCATCACTGGTCTCCACTCAGACATTGAGCAGATGACCACAACTCTTTGAGTGTGACCATCCAGCTGATTCTTTATCCACGGAGTGGTCCATCCATCGAATCCGTATCTCTCCACTTTAGAGATGGAGATCAGATGATCAGATTGATGATCAGATTCTTTTCTCTTTCTAAAGAACAGTGGTTCTAGTTCCTCTGCACTGTCATTGGAGAGCAATCAGTCTCTTTTGGAACAAAAATATTGGTTGAAATTACTTCAATGATGCTGTAACATTTTTAGATTCATTCTGTGTTGTTCTTTGACCCAGTATTGTCCTTAGAGTGTAGTCAGGAATCCAGCTTCCACAAAGGAGTTGTCTGCTATAGTTCCACAAAAAGCAATGATTCTCCTTTAATCTGTTTTTAATTTTAAATCATCAAAGTCATGACAAGTTGAGTAAATGCAAAGCATCTAGGAAGTGAGACAGTCCACGCCCTCAGAAGCTAAAAATGTCACTTTGAGGACAGCTCCAGACTTTAGGCCGAAGTGTAGACTTCTTTGTCAACTAAGCCATTAGGGCAGCCAAACTGTACTGCTTTTGCAATATTTTTTAATTCTGACCGAGCTTTTAATTATGAAAATCTAAAACTCCTCCTTCGATTGCGGTATGTACCATAACTAGCAGATAGAGCATTAGTTGCCATAGAGAGACAATTATCAACTTCCTCCTCTCTTCTCACCCTTCATTAGTAGTACATTTTTACCTATTATTTTGAGTTTATTATTCATTAGACTTTCTTGAAAATATTTTCAGAAAGAAGTAAAACACCTACTTCTTTGCAGTTGTATATATCGTTTCATTAAGAATTTCAGGCATCTCTTTAAGCCTCTGTCAGTACTATAATTATCACAATAAGAAAAAAATCCATACTTTGTAAAACCTATTGAAATTGTTTATATAGGGCACAATACTGTCTAAATATCTGACATGAAGTACCTAAGAACAACCAGTTTGAAAGCTTGTTCTTATGTGTTTCAACTTGTAAGAGCTCACTGAACATACATACTTTTTTATATCATTAGCGCCTCATTTCTAAGCTAAAAAGGTACTGAGACTTTCTGTCTCCCCATGTAGAATCACATGCTAACAGAAGTATTTTCTTATAATGCTTTATATGCAGAATATAATTCTGTAGTTCTAAGATAGTTAGAGGAAGATGGATATTATATTACTGTAGTTTTTTGCAGAAATTCATTTTGCAGATGCTTTTGTGATGGCCTATGGGTCAACTTGCAAATATTCCCCCAGAGATCGAGCACAAAGAACATCAACTCTTTGGCTGCTTTTTCAAATCCTTCAAGAATGGACTTGCTTAAAGCAGATGCAGCCAGAGCTTCTTGGCCTCGTTGGGATGGTTGTAATTTATTACTCTAAGTAAGAATTGCTTTTTAACATAACCTTTGTCTGAAAACAGATCATTTATAGTGTTTTTTTTTTCCCTTTTTTATCTGTTTTTTTCTTTTTGTTTATTTTTTTCTTCTTTTTTTTTCATTCTATCTAAATTATGTTCATATTAGAAAGCTGGCCTGTAATCTTGATACTAAAAAACTTGCTCCTTGCCTGTGTTATGATTAAAATGTCAAGCCAAAATGTGTTAGAAAGGGCTAAAGACAAACTCCTTAGCCATACTGAGTAAGCACCTTTGGGAAAGTAAAAGGTGGAAAATCAGCATATGGATGTCTTTTTTCCTTTGCTGAGAGTAGAGCAGCTGAATAACATATGACAACTTTTGCATCAATAATAATTTAAATTTTTTAATTTGTCACCAACTTCCTAATTGCCCACATACTAGTTACAAATGTTGTAGTATGTTTATGATATATTTGATTTTTCTCAAATTATATAGCCAATTGTCTCAAATGTTTCGGTCTTGACTTACTATGTTTGTTTCTTAACTACAGTTTCACAATAAAGATATTCCCTCTCAAAAGCTGGTATCTTTGATATGCATGTTCCAGGCTTTCTGACAACAACAGGCAGAGCCTCAGTAACCATGCATACCCCTAAATTGGTCCTACATGAGGGTTGCTCAGCAAAACTACTGTTCTTTTTTGCAATAAAAAGTTGACTGCAGCTGCAGCCTCCTGTAAATGCTGAACACCTGTAGCACGGTACTTAACTTAGAATAGTATTTAAATAGTTCTGCATCTCACATTTGCTACAAACCTGTCTTCTTTTATGTGCATGCATGTTAGTATACAAATTGCCAAATTGGTGTCAGTTGTAAAGTAATGGCATTGGAGGCATCATAAATTACCATGGTGATCCTCAGGAGAAGACACCGCTGTATACGAATGAGTGTTTTGCTCTCAGGGTAATGTATGTCTTCATCTGGCCCAGTAGTCAGCATATTGCCCTGTGTTGATGGATATAGTCAGTTTGAAACTACACTACATTTCACTGCACAATAAACATGACTGTCAACACCATATAAAGCAAAATCAATTTATCCTGTATGGTCAGTGCGTTTAAAATGAAATTAATGTACTGTGGACCTGGTGGGGAAAAGGTAGTGTATTAGTTATGCATCCTCTGTTTTAGGACTTTTTTCATGTAAATGTATTTCCTATATAGAACTTTTAAAACAGTATACCTAACATACAGTGTTTCCACACTAAATTAGGAAACTTAGTTTTTGCACAATTATAAACTTGTGAGTCAGTCACTGAAATCAGTAGATCTGTAGTGTTGTACTTAGTTGAAAAAACTAATCTTATGTTATGTGGCAAGTAAATCCATGTCAGGAGCTGTAATAGTTTAGAAAAAAGGAGGCCTATTGCTGTGCTAATTTGTTGTCAAGTACCTTGCTTTTGCAAGGTATTGAATTATATGAACAGTTTGATGAGGCCCAAGACTAAGTATGTCACTCTGCCACTGTAAAGACTTTTTGCTTTTCTTGTATAGCTAAGGTAGAACACAAAAAACATATGTTATCATCACAATTGTAAAAATTTTTCTGGTAAAAGCTTGCCTTATCGAGGCTCTGTTATCTCTTTCTTCTGTATCAACTAGTTCTACACCTTATACTCCACACTGTGAATGCTAAAGCTAAAGCCCCATGCAGCTTTGCTGTTTGTGGTCAAGAAGCAGGGCTGGATGCATTCAAAAAAACAGTTAAGGTTGCCATGTACAAGTTGAATTGATAGTGGGTAATGACAGGGTGGTGGGATACACTAAAGCACAGCAGGCATGGAGAAGCTGGAGTGCTTGTCTCCCATTCCAGAAGCTCCAGGATGCTGTGCGTGTACCTGTTGAAGGCAGACAGCTTTATTACATGTATGTGATTGAATGCTTCAAGACATATCCAAAATTCAACTAAAGCAGATGTGACTTTAAAATGTTCAGCTCCAAATATAATCAGATCTGCACAACTAGCAGCATGTACCTGGTGTACTATATAATTTATTTTATGAAATGTTTGGCATGTGCTTCACTGCTCGAGCAGCTAAGTCATTGTAAATTACTTGTGTGAACAGGTCTACATCAGTTTGGATTCTCAAGTGTAACTTTTATGTGAGGTTTGTTGAGCATTCAGAACATTTATGCTATGTTAGAGTCCTAAATGGAAACTTTCCCAAATCTCCATACCTTAACCGGAGAAATACCAGTGCAATTAATTTCCTCGCTCAGATGTTGGTGCCTTCAGCTGGGTGAGCCTGATCAGTTACACTGAAATCACTGAAATCCAATTACACTGGGTATCCTTTCTCTCTCTGTCTCTCTCTCTCACAGATCTGGCAGCAAAAAGAGAGAGACAAAAAGAGAATGAGGTTAAAATAAACACAGCACTGAAAGCGCTTGCATAATCCACGTAATAATGTTTTGCATCCATCTTGTTTCTTCCTGCCCTGACATTACAGGAAGTAAAGCAATGAATGGCTCTGCAGCTAAACTACAGCAGTATTATTGTTGGCCAACAGGAGGTGCCACTGTGGCTGAAGCTCGAGTCTATCGGGATTCACGGGGCCGAGCCAGTAGCGAACCACACATCAAACGACCAATGAATGCTTTCATGGTTTGGGCAAAGGATGAGCGTCGAAAAATTCTCCAAGCCTTCCCCGACATGCACAACTCCAACATTAGCAAAATCCTAGGTAAGTGCAAGACAATGAACAAATCATGACTGTGACTTGGACCAAAACTGAGGGAAGCTTAGAAGGCTCCATTATAGTAGTGGCAATTGGCAGAGGTTAGTTATTTTTGGAGCTGTGGAAAGATGAGGTTATTTATATTGGTGACACAGGCTAGCTACTTCCTTCTTGGATATGCAACTTCTCTAATTTTAGGATGTATTTTGTTTGGGAGATGTTCACTGAAATTGGAATTACTGAAACTTATACAAATGAAGACTAATGGGTTGTTTTCATTTTTGTTCCCTTCCTTTTCCCTTTCTGCCCCTTTCCTAATGCTCTTTATTTTCAACAGCAGAGTCACAACATACTTTAAAGACTTAGCAGCATTCAAAAGGAATATTTTGTGAAATCTGTTGCAAGAGTGTATCCTGATAAAAGGTCTAATTGCAAGATCCCATTAGAAATGGGCAAAATGGTACATGCTAGAGTAAATACTAGGAAAAAATTAATAAAGTACAGCTTCAAAATCAAAGGTTTATGTCAGACAGTGCAGTGTCAAAGAAAGAAACTTGGCGTAGTTCAAAGGACACGTACATGCCTACCTTTTTGTGTGCAAAATGACGTTTGATTAAAAATGTTACAATGTTCAAAAAGCTAAGGAAGCACTAGTATCGTACAACTAAAATATTGCTTAGTTAAAAGATACCATAGTTTATATTTAGTTTGTATAGATTGGGATGATCAGGAAATATACCATGGATTATATTTTGCCACTGTGCAATTAAATTGGCTTATTTTTGAGAAATTTTTATTTGCTTTTTAAGACCCCTCCAGAGAATTAGAAACATACGTGAGAATGAGTGGTGAAATGTTAAAACCTGTATTTGCTTTCTGAGTCTTTGAAGTGAAAGACAGATTCCAAATGTAACTCGTAATAAATAAAAGTAAAAATCAAGTTTCCTCTGTAGTCATTTTATTGTAAACTTTGAGTTCAAATACATTCTTACCAAAGTTTGTTGCATGTTAGTTCAATCAGAGGCAAGAATACATAAAAATAAATGTTACTTTGTCCTAAAACTTCCAAAATCTTGCTTAGTAGTTCTCATATTTTCGTCTACCATATAAGTTAAGTTATATGAATAGCCTTTCAGTTTTGTATAAAACCTGCACTGTTTCAGTGTTGGCAGCTGTAGGGAATCTATATTATTTGTGTGCATTCTGTGAAAAAACTATTAGGAGCATAGTAACTGTATTCATTAAAATGTAAACTTCCAGCATAAATATTTCAGAAGTGCCAGCAATTGAGTGTTTGTTAACCATGGAATTAACCTGTCAGTATCTGCTCTGCCACAAATATGTCTATGTCCATACAATGTCTGTGCAACTTTTCCAGGACAATGAGAAAAGAGACTGAAATATTAGAACTGACACAGAGTATTGCTGGCTATGGATAATATTTATACAACTTTTCCATTTGTTGATGTATGAAAAATCTTGGTAAAAGAATAGCTTCCACCAACGTTTACCACAGCTGTAATCATTTTATTCATCTAAAAGACACCCAGAAGCTGTTTTCTGCATTTCTTGTCCTCTGGAAAAAAAAAAAAAAAAAAAAAAATCCCTTCTCTATTCGAGTGTTTAGATAGCTCCTTATAAACAATACAAGAGATCTGAATACTTTTTCCTCTTCCTGTGTACATTGTGTTAATTTTTAAACTTTTTTATTGGTGCAGCTTTTAATGAGAGTTTACAGTACCTGAAGTGGTGTATAAAATTACAATATGCTTTCTCTTTGTCTCTTTTTTTCTAATCTAAGTTTGTTAAATGTAGCTTTCTCAGTGAAGTTCGGTGCATTTATTACATCTGGCTGGAAGATAATATCCATAATAGGATTTAAAATATGGTAAAGTGCCAATACTACACCAAGCTTATATCAGAAGATTATTAAATTTAAGACACCCGGACAGCAAGGGATTTTTCATAATTTTGTTGAATCTGTAAGGTTTTGATAATTTTTTCCTGTTACATAGCAAGCTATTAATATCTATTAGTAGGAGTGTATAAACCAAATCCTTGTAAAACTATCACAGAAACATATAACCCTAGGCAATATGTTAAGCTTTTAACAGGAGAAGTATGGTTGTAGACCTAACTTAACCGTAATACTATGAATGGTATTACAAAGGTATAGAATTATTCACAGATTAATGCTCATATTGTAAAAAATTACATAGTGTGTTTTGCAGCATGAGGCTGAGATTTTCAGAAGTGACTATTGATTTTAAGTGACCTATTTAATAGAGATTTACGTATGTTTGGTCTGCAGCAATATCTGAAAGTCAAGGTTCTTTTAAGGTGCCTCAGGTGGTGCATCCCAATATATGTGATGGCTGGTGTAAACTCAAATCAGTTTGTTTAATTAACTTATTTAAAAGTTGGTTTTTATGGCGAGATGGCATGTTGAAATGTGTATGTGTAAAGCTAAACCTGCTCTACTTGAGTACTCACAAATGTTTTGTGTTAACAGGATCTCGCTGGAAGTCCATGTCAAATCAAGAGAAACAACCTTATTATGAAGAGCAGGCACGGCTAAGTAAAATCCACCTAGAAAAGTATCCTAATTACAAATACAAACCTCGACCAAAACGTACCTGCATTGTTGATGGAAAGAAATTGCGTATTGGTGAATACAAACAACTGATGAGGTCTCGAAGACAGGAGATGAGGCAGTTTTTTACTGTAGGGTGAGTACCATTGTTGTAATTGTTTTCAAAGACAGAACATGCTGTTTAAAAACAAATAGACTTAGCTGTTTAAGTCACTGACTAATGTCATTTAGAAGGTAAGGATTTGAACCTCTAAAACCTTATTAAAAACATAAGATATATCACAGAATATGGAGCTATAAGCTTGCCAGTGAATGCTGATTATGAGACTGATTGTGGAATTCTTTAAAGTCAAAAGAAGTTGTTTCCAATTAGCCTGAAAGGTTTGAATCATGTTTTTTGTGAGTTATTAGTAATTTAATCCATTCTAGGTTAGTAATGACTCTATGATAATTTCCTAAATTAAGACAAGAACAAAGAGAAAAACAGAAAAGATTATTCCCATGTAGAATAAGTAGTCGAGAGAGGGGTAAAGGGAAAAGGGATGGGAGTAATAGCAGTTACATTAGGAGCACACATGAATGAATGATATCGTACCATGAGGCTATTAGGAATTTTGTTATACATAGAACTGTGAAAAAAAAAAATATTAAAAATAAATGTTTTAGGAAGAGTCATTCAAATAGTACGTAGGTAGACTGGGTAGATTTACAACTCAGAATATATGGGTCAAAAAGATCCTGGCACAGTTTTTAAAACATTGTGTGTTTCTTGACAGTATTTGCTCTAGTATTCAACAGAGAAAGCAGCACTATGAAAGATCTACAAGCTAAAGATAACAAAAGTCCAGTGAAACAACTGCACCATAACTGATTTCCCTCTCCTGTTTTTTTTTTTATGAATTAATCTGTGATGCTCAGTGCTCTAACACAATGTTTCTGGTGGTTTACAGAGTCTAAAAGCTATCTCCAGTGCCAGCCTTTCCAAATTCACAATGTTCTGCTTATTTCTCTAATCACAATAGTCTCCTTTTGTTGGATACTTCACTACCAGATAATTGACCTTGACGTCGATTATGTGCCTTCATTTTTGGCTTGGGATGCAGAACTCCTGTTGCAGTCAATTATTTTGTGGTACAGCCTGCAACAATGTGGGCTCTTTCTTCAATCAGTAAATAGAATTGGTTTTGATATCTTGAAATAGACTTCCAGTCTATAGTTTTGACATTGTTTTTCATAAGGGAAATTGTTTACTAATAGGCTTCCATCAAAATAGTACTCTGAATAGAAATCTGAATTTCGACAGCACATCACAAATTATACTCAGATTGAGGGAATGAAACTCTATCTTATAGCTTCCAAAACAGATTGACAGACCAAATCCCATCTAGACAAGAAATGCAAAAGAAATGCCAAAACAGCAGTCTGAACAATTTGAGAATTGTTTGCTAATTCAAAACAGTATTAAACAGTAGTATTTTACACATTGGAAGTGGTGTCTAAATATGGAGGACGGATTTAAGAAACTTCTAAAAGTGTCTACTTAAAGAGTGATACTGTGATTTTTTAAAAAAAATATAATGAAAAATATTCAAAATTCAACTGCTGGTGCAACCTACATGTAACATCTTTTTTATATATCAGACAGTATGATCACAAAGACCATGAGAATGTCATAATTTTCTTGAAAGGATTGGTTCTAATTCATATCTATGCTAAGTCCACTTCACCATGCTCTATTCCATGTTGAAGAAGTTTTAAAGTAAGAGTAAATTACCTTTGTGCACTTATATAACAATGCACTGGACATTACTGGAAACAACAACTTTTACTTGTGCAAGTGATGAAAGAGGGGGTATGAAGTCTAATGGATGGTGAAAATAAAGGTGAAATGAGATCCATGTTGCAGTTCAATATGAATATAGGTTTTGATACTGAGGAAACACAGGCTGTGATTTTAAAAAATTATTTCATGCTTTCCTGTTACCCCAAATTCCCTTTTTTCCTTAAGAAAAAATTAAAACAGAATTCTTGGAAGTGGCCAATCAAAAAAGGTGAAAAAACCAGGCCAGGACAGCTTTTTTTGAACTGAAACATAAAACATGGTATCATTTATTTCAGCAGAATAGTTTACTGAGTAATAAAAAGCAGTATTTCATCCAAATCAGATTATAATTAAGTGAAGTACAGTAACTGAGCCCACTAACTTCTGAAACTTACTCTTCCTTGTGTTTAACGTAAATATCACATAAAGCATCAGCTAGAACAGTTTTGCTAACTGACGTCGTACACCCATCATTTTTCCATGGTTTTGATGGAACAAACAGCATAAACTGTCATTCAGAACTGTAGAGGTAAGAGTTGAGATGCAGTTTCCTTTTCAGAATGAAGTAGGAGATAAATGTGCTTTTTAGAGCTGAATATACTCTATGTTTACAGTAAATATTTCACTGTAAGATAGAGAACAAAAGTACAAAATGGACTCCAATGAAACGTGCCAAGTGTTTCATACTGCTTGAAGTCCTGCTGTTTTTTCTTGATTCTTAAAGAACATACCAAGTAAGTTCGGAATGGGTATGCCAAAATGGCAAAAAATTATCATCAGAGAATAAAAAGATAAATAGGAGATGTGTGAAGAGAAAGATGGGCCTTCAAAACAGGTGGCTAGAAGAAAGTATAAATAGTAAGAAAAATTCTATTCTTTCATGTTTGTCTTTGATATTCTCTTATACTAAATGTAAATTTATGGCTTAAGCAATGCAGTAAAGGCTAGTTCCTACTAGATCCCCTTGGGTGAGCTACTGGCTAGCACAGAATAGTCCTGCCATGTGTACAACTAAAACATCCTCCACCACAAACCTAGAAAGAAAGAACTTTAGACGGCTTGAACTTTTAAGATGCACAAAGCTCATACTGTTTGCTTCAGTAACTGCATTCTTTGATAAACATTAGTAAGATGCACAAGAGTTGTTTAGAGATTCTCAATATACAAGCTAGCCAGGCTTTAAAATAAAATAGAGAAATAAGCTAATAAATGGCCAGGCTCTATTCTGATTTTTGAAGAAAATTAAATGAGAATGAAGATGAATGAGAAGAATGAAGAATTGAATGAGAGTGAAAATGTCTTGGAATAAGTTGGGCAGAAAATTCATGTTTTGAGATAAATGTTGTAAATGTGATAGGCCAGTACAAAAGTCTAGGAAGTGGCAAGTATTTTAAAGAACAAAGTGGAGCTTAAAATGTGCATAGGCCTTCTATTGCATCCCTACATGAATGAATTTTGTTCTAAATGAGGCGGATAATATACAGAAATAATTAATGTTTAAAGCAAAGTATATTAAAAATTTTCTGGTTTTAATCTAGTGGAAGACGAATCTGAAGCCGGCTATGTCTTTAAAATAATTGAGTTATTTTTAATAATCAAATTATTAATGGGAAGTTGTGAATGATAACTTCAGCACAAGTTAATCCCTGAACAGACTTCAAGTGATTTACAATTTGTCTTCAATAGTACTTTATTTGTAATGCATAAATAAATGTGAACTAACAAATTGATCTTATATAAACCATAAATTCAGACATTGTAAGTTAACAGTCTGTCTTTTGTTGCCTTGTCTTACAAAAATAATTCAGTTCTTCGTCATTTTTACAGTCTAATACACTCTGAATGCAAGTATATGTTATATACATTTATCTGCAAAATGATGTAAGCAGTAACCTTTTCTTTGTGTTTTACCAGTGTAAGATGTTTAGAATAAAGCCTTTACAGTGTTTATAACTACTGTACACACATAGCCTGAATGTTGCTAGACTACAGTTTTGAATAAGGCTGTAATATTATACTCCTGTAGCTTGAACTTAAAGTAAGTACACAATGGGTGCTTTTGTGAGATTTACTTTATTTCATTCCTTATGGGAATGTAAGTTTCAGGGGTGTGTAGCATATAGGCATTTTCCTTAATGCAATTGATTTTGCTTCAGTCATTCAAAGAGCTGTCAGAGTATAGTTGGGAAGGTATCAGAAAACAATGGTAATTTGCCAATTTAAATGTTTAGCTAGTTTTGCAAAAGTGGAACATTCTCCAGGAAAATCCTAAGAATATTAATGCCACAAGCTTGTGAGCAGGTCAATTGGTCTAAGAATCTTTATGTTACCTGCTTTTTTATATTTACCTAACTATTTCAGGACAAGTCTTTGGCCCCAGACTGGACAGACATGTTAGCAATGCTAGCAGAGCAGAGGCAAGCGACCTATAGAAACTGTCCACAAAAGGATTTCTTTGGCAAAGAGGAGATGGTGGAGACAGGAGTGGTTTGAAGCCAGGGTACATAGCTATGTGTCACCATTCCTCATAGATCTGAAGAGATAGGAAGATTAATGTTGGCTTCTGGAAATCTTAGCCAGGCAGAAAACATCCTTGCTTTAGCCACGTGCAGCTGAGCTGAATTGTAACCTGTAGCTTGCAGTGAAGTACGTTTTCATCTCCTCATTCCAAGGTCCTATGATAGGCAGAACTCTAGCTAGATACAAGGGTGCATGTGGAATTCAATGTTATAAAAAATGCCATTAACAGGA